CGCTTTGGTTTTCTACCCTGCTACACCTGCCATTGTAGCCCACCTGCTAACGCTGCTCCATCCATCAAATAAGCAGCTTCGTCCTGCCCCTCCCCGTGGGCCCTGACTCTGGTTCTTTAAACCTCCCGCTCCTGCCGGTCCCCCCATCTGCTGTAAAGGACAGCCTGCAACTGACCTCTCATCCTGTCTGACCGCTGCCAACAGCTCCACTTTCAGCGCCGCTGGTCTACAACCATAGCCAGCGCTGTGCTAACACTAGCATCCTACCGCGGCACTACGATGTTACGATACTCTGTCTCCCAACTTTTTAATCTCAATAACTTTTCTGTGCTTCCTCTAAACTTGTCTGTCATCAATTGCCTCGGGCTTCTACGCAGACCGAGGTATGTATTACTCCATATTATACACCCACCACTGGTCCGTTACAATCCCGGCTGTACCGAAAACCTGGAGTGGATTCCACTGCCCTCTTCTCAGAGCTGGTCCAAATTCCTGGAGTGTATCCCACTGCCCTCTGCTCAGAGCTGGCCCAAATACCTGGAGTGGATTCCACCATCCTCTGCTCAGAGCTGGCCCAAATACCTGGAGTGGATTCTACTGCCCTCTGCTCAGAGCTGGCCCAAATACCTGGAGTGGATTCCACCGCCCTCTGCTCAGAGCTGGCCCAAATACCTGGAGTGGATTCTACTGCCCTCTGCTCAGAGCTGGCCCAAATACCTGGAGTGGATTCTACTGCCCTCTGCTCAGAGCTGGTCCAAATTCCTGGAGTGGATCCCACTGCCCTCTGCTCAGAGCTGGCCCAAATACCTGTAGTGGATTACACTGCCCTCTGCTCAGAGCTGGCCCAAATACCTGGAGTGGATTACACTGCCCTCTGCTCAGAGCTGGCCCAAATACCTGGAGTGGATTCCACCGCCCTCAACCACCAACAACTGATAATAACACACTTCCTTCCACCTCCTCTCCGCTCCTCCCCCCCATCTCACATTCCTCACCGCACTGTCAACCTGGACAACCTCTTACCTCTTCAGCCTGTGACCACACCACTTCCCTCCCACTCAACTAACATTGCCCTCCTTAACATCCGATCACTCAACAAGAAAGCCCTCATCCTCCATGAACTAATCTTGGAAAAATCCCTTGATTTCCTTCTGCTTACCGAAACCTGGCGACAGCCCGATGACTTCTTCTCCCTCAACCAAACATCCCCCCCTGGCTTTAAATACATCACTAAACCCCGCCCCTCCCGCCGTGGTGGCGGCCTTGCTGTAATCCACAATCAGAACATCCAGATCACAGAACTAACCCTCCCCTCAGTATCATCCTTTGAATTCATTGCCTTCAAAGCCCCTCCCTCACTGACAGTCATCCTCATCTACCGGCCTCCTAAACCTCATCCCTCCTTCCTCTCCGATTTCACTGAATTCCTCACACTTGCCTCATCCCTCTCTCAACGTCTGTTACTACTTGGTGACCTCAACATTCACATTGACTCACCCACCTGCAAGCTGGCATCCGAATTCACAACCCTACTGGACAATTTCTCTATCACCCAACATGTCACCTTCCCCACCCATTACACAGGACACATTCTTGATCTCGTCTGCTCTACCAACCTCCCAGTGATTGACCTCCACCCTTGCCCATTTACCCTCTCCGACCACAAACTCATACAATTCACCATTGCCCCCCCCCTCCCGAAACCCCTGCCCACCCAGAAACATCACCTTCAGTAATCTACACTCCATTGACCATAACCATCTCTCCGAACTGCTATCGTCTAATCTCCCCCTGGACGCAACCCTCAGCTCACCTGATGATCTGCTCAACCACCTCAACTCCACCCTACTCACCTCCCTCAACACTTTAGCCCCCCTCAAAAATAAAACTGTTACTTTCAAGACCTCCTCACCCTGGTTCACACCCGCACTGCGTAAAATGAAGCAGCAAGGCCGCCAACTTGAACGTCTTTCAAAGAAATCATCCCTCACAGTCCATTACATAAGCTACAAACTCCATCTCAATGCATACAAAGATGCTCGTATTGCCGCTAAATCTGCCTACCTCTCCAACATCTTCATTGACCCCTCCCGTAACCCCAGGACCCTCTTCTCCACAGTTAACAAGCTCTTCAAAGCCCGTGCTGATAACCTCCCTACTTCTACTTCCGCTACTTGCAACTCATTCCTCCAGTTTTTCGCAGACAAAATGAACGCCATTAACCACTCCTTCTCAGCTCCATCTGATATACAAGCATCTCCCCCAACCTCCACCGCTACCATTTCTCCGCCCATCTCCCTTGACCTCCTGACTCCTCCTCCCCAGCGCCGCCTCTCCCAGTTCAACCTGGTTACCCCACTTGAAATAATCCATCTGATCGGTTCCTCAAATCCCACAACCTGCTCCCTTGACCCTCTACCCACTCCTCTCCTGAAGTCCTACCTCCCCGTCCTCTGCCCCTATCTTGCTAACCTTTTCAACTCCTCGCTGTCCCATGGAACCGTCCCCTCTGCTTTCAAAACTGCTGCCGTTACTCCAATCCTCAAAAAACCTGGTCTTGATCCCTCCTCCCTCACTAATTACCGCCCCATCTCCAACCTACCATTCCTCTCAAAAACTCTTGAACGCATTGTAGCCAAACAAATTCACTGCCATCTCCAAACCAACCAGCTTTATGAACCCCTTCAGTCAGGATTTCGTCCTCACCACAGTACAGAAATTGCACTCGTCAAAGTCCTCAATGACCTCCTCACCTCTGCTGACACTGGTTCCCTCAATATTCTCATCCTCCTCGACCTGAGTGCAGCCTTCGATACCGTGAGCCACAACATCCTGCTCACCCGACTCAGGGACATTGGTATTGAAGGTATTGCACTCAGATGGCTCCAGTCCTACCTCACTGAACGATCCCACTTCATCTCCCTCCCAAACCACTCCTCTGCCATAGCTTCAGTCACCCAAGGCGTTTCTCAAGGATCAGTACTTGGCCCCCTCCTCTTCATCATTTACATCCTCCCCCTCGGTCAGATACTCCGCCACTTCAACCTCGACTTCCACTGCTATGCTGATGACACTCAGATCTACCTCAGCACCAAATCCCTCCATAACCCACCTCTTACCCACATTGATTCCTGTCTGACAGCTATTAAAACTTGGATGCAACATAACCTCCTCAAACTGAACAGCAACAAAACAGAACTCCTCCTAATCGGCTCCAAATCCACCCTCAGCAAGGTCACTAACATAACTCTCACCATTGATGGCACCATTGTTTCCCCCTCCAATCAGGCACGCAACCTTGGCGTAATCTTTGACCCCACCCTCTCCCTCGAACCTCACATCCGCCAAACAGTCAAAACCTAATTTTTCCACCTCCGCAATATTGCAAAAATCCTACCCTCTCTCACCCGCCCCGCAGCCGAACGACTAATCCATGCCTTCATTTCCTCCCGCCTTGACTACTGCAACTCACTTCTTTACGGGATCAGCACTACATCCCTCAACAGACTCCAACGGGTTCAAAATGCAGCTGCACGTCTCCTCACGCATACCAAATCATGGCATCACATCACCCCAGTCCTCAAAGACCTCCACTGGCTTTCTGTCTCCCATCGCATCAACTACAAAATTCTGGTCCTCACCTACAAAGCACTCCACCATCTGGCCCCCCCTTATCTCACAAACCTTCTCACTCCTTATCAACCCCCACGGTCCCTCAGATCCACCGCAGCCGGATTCCTATCCATTCCCACATCCACACTCTGCAGCTTTGGGGACAGAGCCTTCTCAGTGGCAGCTCCTAGGCTCTGGAATTCCCTCCGTGACTCTGAGTCCCTCAGTCTTTCAGTCCCGCCTCAAAACACATCTTTTCAACTCTGTCTACCCATAAGCCCCCCCCCCTCTCAATCAACTTCCTCTTGACTGCCTTTTTATTTTTTACATACTTGTTTGCCTGTCCTTGTTTGTCTACCCTCCCTCATACTGTAAAGCGTCTTTGAGTTGTGAAAAGCGCTATATAAATAAAATGCATCATCATCTATGGAGCACCTGTAGAAGGTCAGGATCCTCTCTATGGTGCACCTGAAGAAGGTCAGGATGCTCTCTATGGTGCACCTGTAGAAGGTCAGGATGCTCTCTATGGTGCACCTGTAGAAGGTCAGGATCCTCTCTATGGTGCACCTGTAGAAGGTCAGGATGCTCTCTATGGTGCACCTGTAGAAGGTCAGGATGCTCTCTATGGTGCACCTGTAGAAGGTCAGGATCCTCTCTATGGTGCACCTGTAGAAGGTCAGGATGCTCTCTATGGTGCACCTGTAGAAGGTCAGGATGCTCTCTATGGTGCACCTGTAGAAGGTCAGGATCCTCTCTATGGTGCACCTGTAGAAGGTCAGGATGCTCTCTATGGTGCACCTGTAGAAGGTCAGGATCCTCTCTATGGTGCACTTGTAGAAGGTCAGGATCCTCTCTATGGAGCACCTGTAGAAGGTCAGGATCCTCTCTATGGTGCACCTGTAGAAGGTCAGGATGCTCTCTATGGTGCACCTGAAGAAGGTCAGGATCCTCTCTATGGAGCACCTGTAGAAGGTCAGGATGCTCTCTATGGCGCACCTGTAGAAGGTCAGGATCCTCTCTATGGTGCACCTGTAGAAGGTCAGGATCCTCTCTATGGAACACCTGTAGAGTATCCTGGAGTCCATGTTGAACCTCTTCAGCTTGCGGAGGAAGAAGAGCCGATGTCGAGTTGTTCTGGTGAACGTTCTTCTTCATGGACATGCTCATGCTGCTGCCACTCCAAAAGGCTCATCTTACCGTTGTTTTCACCTCTAATGCTTTACTATCCAGAGATATTTAACATCATTAGACATATACAAACATATGAAGCTGAATGTTCGTTTTCAGCCCTGTGGTGTTTCTTTGTGCACTTCTGACATTGTTTTAAGTGTCACATTGGATTAGAGCCATTCCACAGCTGTGCTCATCCTTGTCCTAACTGTCCCCAGATGAAGCATGTGGAGGAGCGTTTTGGAAAGGAGGCCAGTAAAGAAGTTCTGCTTATGTGCATCGGCATCACATCCGGTGTGGGCCGTCTCATCTTCGGCAGGGCGGCAGACTACGTTAACGGAGTCAACAAAGTGTACCTACAGGTGAGGGAAACACACCGAGCTGAGCTGGTCACCTCTGTACTCACCAACTGATAAGGCTATTTGAAGATTACATATTACATTACACTATCAACTAAAACTAAACTTGTGAACGTCATGTGATACTAAAACTCACTGAAATCCAAACTAACTTGAAATGAAACTGCAACCTTTCAAGGACACTTAATAAATGTCAATGTTCTACATAAAGAGAAATAAACCATTGAATAATGGAATAAGAATCTGTCCTTCCAGGTGGCCTCGTTCTTTGTCATCGGCCTCATGTCGATGATGATTCCTCTGTGCAACATCTTCGGGGGGCTGATCGCCGTGTGCCTGCTGATGGGACTGTTTGACGGCTGCTTCATCTGCATCATGGCCCCCATCGCCTTTGAGCTGGTCGGAGACAAAGATGTCTCCCAGGCCATCGGCTTCCTGCTGGGCCTGATGTCCGTGCCCATGACTGTGGGGCCCCCCATCGCAGGTAACAGGAATACTCTAAAACTGTGTTAATGCTCTATAAGCCCCTGCATATGATATACAGTAAATACTCACAGCACACTGACTATCCACTATGTGTAATTCAAGTGTGGGGGTTTAGTGCATTTATGGCGCATTTCCACTACAGCGCGGAGCTCGCTTTAAGCGTGCCGAGCCGTGCGGGGCCCGTTTTTGGTTGCGTTTCCACTTGGCCTAGTACCGGCTAGCGGGTACTATTTCACAGTTTTCTGGCCCCATAAAATCAAGGTTCTTTCCGGGCCAACAACCAGGCTGAGTCGGGCTGAGTATGCTAAACTAGAGAGAGAATCGCTGGCAAGGGAGCTACAACTACAACACGATGAACATATTTGACCGTGATTTAATTGTAATACACGTTTCAAAATGATGCCGAAGTAACAACGGTTAGTAAAAACCATGAATTAATGCTTTGACAAGTCTGCAGACAGACGGCAGGCGAAACACCTTTTAAAATGCGTGTTGTCGGGTTCTGGTGACATCGTCGCCCTGAATGGCAGCCTAAGATAGCAGCTCCTCCAAAGTAATAGTTAATTAACCCCGTAAAGTCGTCAAATAAAACAAACTCTGAGAATAAGCGACTTGACAGTGGGGCAATAATGGGAAGAAGTGATGGAACCAATAAAAAAGCCGATGGACAACCTGGAAATGAAGAAAAAACGGATAACGGCTCACCTACGCAGGTACAAGATGGCGAAGCTAGCGCTAGCCCATTGGGCTTAGCCAAAGTTTTGGAGGAGATACAGGACTTTCGAAAGGACATGAAACAACAACTAAGCGATATTAAGGCTGAGCTTACCAACGTTAATACAAAAATAGCCAAGGCAGAGACACAAATTGAAAAGATGGAAGACCGTGTTCAAAACGTGGAGCAGGTGCTAGCTAAGATGATGAAAATGCTGACTCAGCAAGAAAGCAAACTACTCGACCAAGAAGGGAGATCTAGATGGGAGAATATAAGGATATATAATGTCCCCGAAGGTGAGGAGGGGAACGTCTATGGTGGACTTTGTGGAAAAATTACTACGGGACACCCTTGCCCCCCCCCCCCCCCCCACCGCTACAGAGCTCCACATCGAGAGGGCGCACGGGTCGCTCGTTCCAAAGCCCCCCGGGGGACCAGGAGACAAACCACGGTCAATCATAATCAGATTTAACCGCAACAAAGTGAAAGAAGAGATTTTGCGGAGGGCCTGGGGAAAGAAACAGGTGTTTTTAAACGGAAGAATTATATACTTTGATCAAGACTATTCCCCTGCAGTCCTGCAGAAACTAAAGGAATACTCCGAAGCGAAACGGGTGTTAAAGCAGAACAAGATCCGCTTCCAGACTCCGTTCCCCGCCAAGCTGCGAGTATACTATGAGGATGGGACGCGGCTGTACCAGACGGTGAACGAGGCTACAACGGACATGAATAAAAGAGGTCTGCCTGTCAGAGTGACCAAGTCCAAGGAGAGCCTGGCTGAGGAACTGGCCCGCTATGCCTGGAAGGTGGTCGGAGGATCTGAACCACAGGGGGCAGAGGATGCGCGAGAGCAGGGCATCAGAGAGAAACTACGGATCTTCAGGAGGGAGCCCTCGCCCCCCTCAGAGGAGATGTGACGTCTGGATAACGTCGGTGAGCGGATCTAGATTTAAAATGAAGAGGTACTTTATATTTTGTTTGCTATTTTCATCACCTTCCCCCCTCCAAATGGGAATACACACGGGAGTAATACACGGTGTAATGGATGGAGACTGTTATCTTCATGGAGACTGCAACGGGGGCCCTCAACCCACAGGCGAGAGAGGCTTTCCCCCATGGCTAGATGTTCTCTCTAGCACAGGCAAGGGTCATCCACGGGAGACCCCTACCTTGGAATCACACCTTTGTTATGTTACATGTTTTGTTGTTCTTTATTGTTCAGGGAGTAGATCTGTTATTCTTTTCTTCGTTAGATTTGAAACACAGAAAGTAAGAGTCAAATGGCTAACGACAAAGTAAAGTAAAATTCATCTCCTTTAATGTGAATGGGCTGTTGAATCCGATTAAACGCAGTAACATTTTAACTAAAATGAAAAAAGAACAACCCCATATAGTGTACCTACAAGAAACCCATCTAAACGATAAAGAACATGAAAAACTTAAAAGAATGGGTTTTACTAATGTACAAATCAGGACACAGAAGAGGAGTTGCTATTCTCATATCAAGCAAGCTGAACTTTGAGAAAGTCTTTGAAATGAAAGATAAGGAGGGCAGGTTTGTTTTAATAAGAGGTAACATGGATGGAAATCCAATTACTCTGTTGAATGTTTACGCACCTCCTGAAAGTGATTTGAATTTCTTCCAGAAAATTGTTGATGTCATTATAATGGAAACTGCGGGGGGGACTTAAATGTGCACTTACAACCTGAATTAAACTGTTCTAGGAAGAAAACTAATGGTACAAAATCTCTACATAAGAAAGTTAACAAACTGTTTGAAGATGTTGGTCTGATTGATATATGGCGGGACCTATTTCCTAACAGAAGAGACTATACTCATTATTCCGCCCCTCACTCTTCATACACGAGAATAGATTATTTCATAACATTTGGTAAAGGTAAAGATAAAATAAACACGTGTGGAATTGGATCAATAGATTTAAGTGACCATGCACCCATATATCTGACAGTTGATCTGGACCTAAGACCAAAGAGTAATCTATGGAAACTAAATTCAAGTTTACTCAATGATCCCTATGTTAAAGAACAAATTAAGAAGGAGATCGGCCTTTACTTGGAGTTCAATGATAATGGAGAGGTTTCTCCTCCCATTTTGTGGGATGCTTTAAAGGCTGTTCTTAGAGGGGAAATTATAACACTGTCCTCATACAAGAAAAAAAGAGGAATAAAGAACAAGAGGATCTACAAAATAAATTGAAGGAACTAGAAAGAAAACACAAAATTAGACAGACTCAGGATGCATTGGATGAGATTACGAAAATAAGGAACGAAATTAACAATTTGGCTACACAAGAAATTGAGAAAAAACGAATGTTTCTTAAACAGATGAGAGCGGGACTAAATCTATGAAAGTACTGGCATGGAAATTGAAAAAAAAGATAGCAGAGAATACAATCCACAAAATCAGGGATCCAATAACCAAAATAATAAAACCAAATTAAGTGATATCCAGGATGCTTTTGAAACATTCTACAAAAAATTGTACTCTGGAGTTCCAGGGTGCAGCCTTACTCAAATTGACACTTTCTTAAGCTCTATAGATCTGCCGACCCTAAATGAAGAACAAAATAAAATGATGACTGTCGACATAACTGAGGTTTAGGTGAATTAAAAATTGCAATAAGTAAACTCAAAACTAAGCAAGTCACCAGGATCAGATGGCTATACGGCAGAATGGTATAAGGAATGTAAGGGCGAGTTAACACCGATTATACTCTCAACACTCAATTGGGTCTTAAAAAAGGCTCAAACACCACCCAGCTGGAACAAAGCGATAATATCTGCAATACCAAAAGAAGGAAAGGATCAAATGGAGTGTGGATCATTCAGACCAATATCTGTTCTTAATGTGGATTACTTTTTACTTCCATCATGGCCAGACGTTTAGAACAATTCCTGCCTAAATTGATCCACAATGACCAGACAGGTTTTATTCGATAACGTCAAACACAAGACAACATACGAAGGACACTACATGTCATGGACTACATTCAAAGAAGTAAAATTGAGGCAATGGTGATAAGCGTGGATGCTGAAAAGGCTTTTGACTCGGTAAATTGGGATTTTCTCTATCGAGTTCTACATAGATTTGGTATACATGACACAATTATTAAAACTGTACAGGCATTATACAACAAGCCAACTGCTAGAATTAAAGTTAATGGATATTTGTCAAATAGCATTACCCTCGAAAGAGGCTCGAGACAAGGTTGTGCATGGTCACCGCTACTCTTCGCACTATACTTGGAACCATTGACTCAATACGACAAAATGAAGAGATTAGGGGAATTACTAATCACGGGCGGCAACACAAGCTGGCTTGCTACGCGGACGACATTTTGTTTTTTTTGGCTCAACCAACAAACTCTCTCCCTAAATTGATGCAATCACTTGAACAATATGGTCGACTGTCAGGATACAAGGTCAATATTGCTAAGACACAATTGCTTACAACAGACCACCAGGTGAAATTAGAAATAGATACCCTTTGGCATGGCACACAGAGCATTTCAAATATGTAGGCGTTATAATACCAAAGGATCTTTCAGAACTATCAGAATACAATTACTCACCTTTAAACAAAAATATTAAGGAGGACATAGCTAGATGGAACCTAATCCCTTTCTTTAGTCTCAGCTCAATAATTGAGTCCATGAAAATGAACATACTGCCAAGACTACTTTATTTGTTCCAGACCTTACCAATAGAGATTAACCAAAAACAATTTAACGAGTGGGACAGAATAATATCAAGGTATATATGGCAGGCTAAAAGACATAGAATTTGTTTTAAAACTTTACAATTATCAAAAGAAAAGGGGGGGTGGGCCCTACCTTCCCTTAAAGAGTATTACCGGGCAGCACAGCTGAGGCCTATGGTATGCTGGTGCAATCCATCGTATGATGCTAATGTAAAACCATGGAAGAGAAAATATTATCCATTCCCATACAAGCATTCATAGCTGACAGCGACCTACAGGGCTACATAAATAACATTGAAAATCCATGGGTAAAACTGACTCTTAAAGTATGGAAAACAGTCATAACTGAGTATAAATTAGAGGAACATATTACAATTCTGAAATGGTGTGCATATGACACCGACTTTACTCCTAATAAGGAATAACTGCTCTTTGCAACATTAAAGAGGGAACGCTGTTTAGTTTTGAAATGCTTAAAGAGAAATTCCTATTAGAAAAACAAGACTTCTATCGATATTTACAGATGCGGCATTATGTTAACAAAAAGGTTAAAACTATAACAGAGTCAAGTACAGGTGTGATAGAACTATGTAAAAAAGCATACGATTCAAAAACAGATAGCAAAGTCATTTCATGTATGTATAAAGGGCTGTTGAATCTTAAAATACACTCAACCATATATGTGAAATCCAAGTGGGAGAAGGAAGGAGGGGTTATCATATCTGAGGAGGAATGGACAACAATATGGAAATATCAGTGGAAATGTACCAGTTCACATAACTGGAGGCAGTTTGGTTGGAAAAGCCTGATAAGATATGTTATAACACCCTCTCAGAAGTCTCACTATGGTGGGAACTCAGACTGTTGGAGAAAATGTGGAAATTAAAATGCAAATCATTATCACGTTTTCTGGGACTGCCCTGTTATTGACGTCTTTTGGAGAGAGATACATAAAGCCTTACAAGATATGTCATGTGCCCATGGAGAGTAAAATGTCATGTGCCCACGGAGAGTAAGACTTTGTTCTTTGGACTCATACCTCAAGAATGGACTAAAAAAGACAAATATTTATTAAATCTGTTGCTAGTGCCTCTTACAAGGAAGTGGTTATCACCTGATAGCCCAACTTTAAACACATGGATGGATATTACAATGGACATTTACAAAATGGAGAGGATAACATCATCTGTCAATCACAAACTGGAACTATTTGTGTCACGATGGAGAAAGTGGACTGATTTCGTAAAACCTCATAGGCCAGATTTAATTTTTAAAAACGTATGATTTTACTGTGAAGACCTGATCACTCCCTATTGTTTATACTTTTTACTGTCTTTATTTTATCTTTGTGTAAAAAAAAGAAAAAGGCATTTCGGACAGACAAACTGAAAATGTACAATTATTATGTCTTGAAAAAACACTGTGTAATTGTTTGCTGCCAAATGTCAATAAAAAATATATTTAAAAAAGAAAAAGAAAATGCGTGTTGTCTAAATGGAGATCGGCTAAGCTAACGCAGTATATGCTCCGACCGTCCACACTCACAACAACGGCCTACAGACATAAATAAACCAGCGACTGTATTCGCCATGACACAGGCAGTCTGTGGTTTGTACTTGTTTAACTTTTGTCTAGTTTCTAAACAGATATGAAGAGCTGTGAGCTCTGAGTGCTAAGAGCTAACGGCTGTGTTGTTTTTCTGGGGTTCTCATTGAAGATGACGTCACGGCATCAATCAATTATTTAAAAATGCGTGTCATGAGGATTGCCTCCCTTTAAACATGAAGAGGAACCACAGGCATGATGACATCATTAACATGCTCTGCAGTAATGAAGTTCACCGTGTCACTGTGTTTCATTCAGTCTGAAGTCTTCTCATTAGTCTCTCTCACATGTATGAAGATAACACTGACAGACTGGGCTTCTCATTAAGACGATGTTTGAAATAATGGTCAGCTTCCTGTACTTCCTACAGGTTGCCTTAGTGCATATACATTTCTGCATAGGAGGTCATCAGAGAGCCTGCTGTCAGCTCCCTCAGGTTCACTCGCATGTGTTCAATGGTTCTCCTAATTAGCATGATTTAACTCCAGGATGCTGAATATAAATTAAACGGAGGCACACGTATCCCTGCAGACAACCCATGTACAGGCTTCACTCAGTGAAGAGGCAGTGTGTTGCTGCAGCTCTTTCTATGGTGTTTAAGTAGTCATAACTTAAGAACATCTCTGTCTCTGCTTTAGGGTTCCTGAGGGACAGACTGGGCAGCTACGACGTGGCCTTCTACCTGGCAGGTATCCCCCCCATCGTTGGAGGGGCCATGCTGTGTCTGATACCCTGGGTGGAGGCCAGGCGCAAGAGGAGGGAGAAGGAGGAGGCCCTGAACAAAGAGCAGGACGTCACTCAGAGGATGATGGAGCCTGAGAAGGCGGAGCCTGAGAAGGTGGAGCAAGAGGCACGACGAAAAACTGGCGAGTCTGTCCTCTAAGTGTCCCACTGGCAGACTGACAGAGACACAGGAACAGCTGGATCAGCACCAAAACATGCCAAAGTGTTGAACCATATCAGAAAGAATCCAAGGTGATTTCCAGTTCCACATGAATGTGATCCTGAAGAACTATGCATTAGATCGTTTGACTGAGCTAGTCTAACAACAGAACATTTGAGAAAACTGCTCATTTCATATTTTCATAAGGGAAAGAAGGCATGCTGTGCTTATTACGAATGTAATGTCAAAGTTTAAAGCCACTGTATCTACCAAAAACAGATGTGGCAGTCTTAAGGGAAAGGCAGACTCAGGCCATTCTTTACAATCAGTTTTCAACACTACCACTTACACTTAGAAGAAAAAACACTTGATTTGTCCTGAAGCCGCCATCTTTATTGTCTCCTGTTAACTACGTCTTAGAGCCAACATTTAACACTGGGGGTGATGTGGTTATAGAATTCAAAGATGACAGGCAGAGTGTGTGGGGTGGAGGCTGACTGGATCCAGGAGCTCTGTGTGGCCCCACTCAGACCCTCAGGGGCCCCAGACCCTCAAGGTTCAGCGTTCACCATGTCACAGTTAGCTTGTTGTAATTCATTCCACATTAGTTTGGTAATTGTGTACGCCATAAACTGAAATGATAGGGGCCTTAAAGAATCTTATGATGTCCCCCAGTGTGTGTGACTTCATCATTTCAGTTTATATCAAGCTTATATGGTGTTTATTCCTATATCAAATTGTGATATATGGAATAAGCATAACCTAATGATTAACTATTACAAACCCAATATACAGAAAGTGGGGAGCCCACAGAGGTTTTAGGGGGCCTGACTGTGCCAGAGAAAGCTCAACAGAAACACGTCCACAACAGTACCACTCTGTTATATGTTATTATATAAAGCCAGAAGGTTAGCTTAGCTTAGCAACCAGCCTGGGAACAGCTGGAGGAACATCTCTAAGGCTCAGTGTGTCTGATCTCAAAATGAATGTAAAGATGTTAGTGCTGGTGTTCCTGAGGTTCATGTGCCGGACTATTACTCGGCGAGGAGCTAAGGTAAGCTCATTTCCCCATACGTTAAACCATTCCTTTAACAATAAAGACTCTTGTCCAGCGCACACACCCAAGCGTTCAGATATGAACGTGAATATTGACTCATTGGAAACATATTGGCATTTTCTTTGTGTAGACTGTATGGGTGTTTCTCAATCTCGAGTAAAGCTGCTCCAGAGCCACTATTTCAAGCATACTACGTCATCGAGTGCCGCCGAAGTACTGTTCCAATGTCCAGCATACTTGGAATTCTACCGAGCCCGGCGTACTTCGTTTGGAGAAATTTCGAGGCTGCACATGTGTAGACTCCGGTCTTAAAATCCCCACAATGCTTTGCGCACGGACCAATTTCCCCAAATCTGTGGCGGAAAATGTAAGGTTGGGCCTCTCATATGACGCACACCTGCACACTTGCTCGCCTGATCCACTCTTCGTTTGTCCGCTCACCCTATGTCTATTCATTGGCTGTAGTATTGACATTAAGCAGTATTTCTTTGTTAACCACCAGTGTTGAGGTTTGTTTTGAATGTTTTTTCTCTGTAATTTAGTAACATTTTAGTTTACACTCTCATCGTGTGACATGGATTCACAATGTCGTGCCTTTGTTGTAAAGTCTCATATGTTTCATGGTATACAGTCCCCTCCAAAACGATAGGAACAGCAAGGCCAATAGCTTTATTGGGGAGAAACCTCTCAAACAACTGAAAGAGTGAAAGCCTGGAAAAGCATCACAAAAGAAGAATGCAAACGTTTGGTGATGTCAGTTGGTCGCAGGCTTGATGCAGTTATTGCAAGCAAAGGATGTGCAACTAAATACTAAGTATTATTCACTTTTCACACTATTTGAAGTCTCTGTCCCTATACTTTTTCTCACTTGGAAAATGGGTGTGTTTAAACAAAAGGTGCTTCCTTCTCAGTTGTTTAACAGATCTAGATGTAAATAACTGGAGTTAAAAGCTGAAGTACTGACCTTTTGGCTCATCTTCATCTTCTGATGTCAAACCTAATGGTTTTCAGTGTACAGCAAAAATAAAGCAATTGGCCTCGCTGTTCCAGTAGCTTTGGAGGGGACTGTATAAATAACATGAAGTTTGCTCTGTAGATGACGTTGTCAAGGTCATAACAAGTCATCACCTGCTCGCGTCCTCTTTAAGGACCAAAAAGACACACCACCTCACACATTTACAGTATGGTATCATTTGAAGCATAAGTGGAAGTGAGGACATGAGTGTGACTAATCATTGACTGTGACCATCAGTCAGTGAAGGCAGTTAATCATTATCTCTGTGCCCGGTTCTAGCCGTTAATAGAAAGGGATTTGTTTTATGTTTTCACATTGTATTTATTTTTTGGTTTTTGTGGAGAATGTCATGCTGTAATTGACGGGCATTTGCCTAAAGCCTTGATTTATTCTAGTGAAGACCAAAATGTAGTGGAATGAAAGAGTGTTAATGCTGTTGGCGTAGTGTCTGTGTTGACTGGCAGATGATTGTGGAGAACTTTGTGAGTCCATGGTGTTTCCTCTACCTCAGATGTTGTAAATGTGTAGAGCTCTGTTCCTCCACACAGCAGCGTGACTCGACTAACCCAAATGAGGTTACAAGTCTTAGATACCTCTCTCCAAAGCTTGGCTCTTTAATGAGCTGGTTGCTGTTCAGAACCAAAATTGCCTTTTTTGATATGAGGAACTTCGACAGCGTTTACATATTTTCTCCCCCCTAAATATATATTTTTATTACAATTAAATCACATCTGTTGCCTTCATTCGAATGTATCTTTTTTTAATGACATTAAAATGGCATGACTGTTTATAGCAGACTTTAGGTTCTTTTTAGACTGCTTTTCGCTTCTTTTTTCTCCACAATGTTTATAGCATTTCATTCTGAACTTGCTGTTATTATTTAAACTCAAAATTAATTAAACCACAGGTTTTATTCTGAATATCTCTTCTGCATATGTGTATGAAATTGATATTTTTTTCATCCTATTTCTGCATAATTTTTGCCTAATATTTGTTCATTTATTGCTACATGTTTGTTTCATGCATATCTCGAAATGTTTTCTACAAAAGTATTACTTTCTTATCTTTCCTGCAGGACGTGTGGTGAACTACAGTATATCAAATGTAATATTATGTAAACAATCGCATTTCAGAATTTTCAAGACAGTAAAAAAGAACGTTTACAATTTCTGAGACTTTCTTATAATTTATCTCCATGTCTTTGTCTGGTATTGCTGTTGTTAGGTAAGGCCCATTTCGGCTCAAATGAACATGATTCAAGGTTCATAAACCTCGTCATTTTTACAGTTACACAACAAAACACAAGTTGTATGTATTGTATCATTGTAAGACTTTTATCAATTTTTTCAAATTAATTCTTCATATATGATTCATGAGCGGGAATATTTAGATTCATGGTATTCCATGAATACCATGAACCTTGATGGCCAATGGTGTGACAGTTTCTCATCTCGCCCGTTTTTGTGCGTACGTAGCGGTCAAAGTGTCCTTGGAGGACCGCACATTTTCCCAGGAAATGCCGGCAGAACAGCTAAACAAACATTTGACATGCTGTCAGATGTTGGTTCTTGTTGGGGAGGTGGAGACAGGTGAATCAGATTGTTTGGTGGATGCAGTTTGAACATTACAAAGAGTTGTAGCATGTGGAGCACTCTGTAAACGCTCCTGCCTCGGAAGGTTGGATCGTCACCAAAATAAATATATAAATAAGTTGTCTGAAATTTTTTACAACACACAGGATAACTCAGAAGTAACTTCCCTTTTAACCTGTTAAGCCCCAAGGTCCCCGCCGGTGTTTTTTTTTTTTCATGACACTGTGTCTCAGGCAGGGCCGCCTTAATGCACGGGCTAACCTGGGCTGAAGCCCAGGGGCCTATGGAGATCGGGGGCCTATCATGAGCCAATAAAAAAGAAAATTAAAATTAAAATAAAAAGTTTTTTATTTCAGATGTTTTAAAAAAAAATTAAATACACAAAGTCTTGGCTTTCAGAATATGAAACTTTTATTTCCAAAATCACACGATAAATACATTTTTGAAGCTTGTAAAGGGAAGAAGACAGTTCTCCCTCGCCACTCTGCTGTTCTGCTGTTCCCCTCCCTCCGCTGAAATTATGAATGTAATCGTATAGTAATCATAGATAACACGGCAGGGTCCGTTACAGTTTGTTTTCATCTGGTTTCAAATAAACAAAGTCTTGGCTTTCAGAATATTAAACTTGTTTCGGCAAATTCAGATGATAAATACAACTTTGAAGCTTGTAACGGCATAATTACAAGCGGAGAACGGAGTAACTTGACGTCACGACAGGCATAACAACAACCGGTGTTTCTCGTGAGTGTTTTCCCCGGGAAACAAACACAATACACACAAACGCAAAAATACACAAACACACACACGTATACACACACACACACACTCACACACACACACACTCGTGAGCTTTCCCCAGACCTCCAAACGAAAATATATTCCCTCCGTATTATTTCGATCATTTGCTCCGCTAATCAATCAGATCGCTGGATTCCAGAGATTTTTCTCAAGAAAAGTCAGTGGGCACCACTTAACAGCCAATCAGAATGAGAATATGTTTCACATGTGACTTATTCAAATTGCGAGTGATTGAGTGACAGATGAAGGTTGTTTAGGAGAAAAAGTTTGAGAAGAAAAAGTTTGAGAGTGGTGCTCGGAAAAGGAAATTGTTGAGGGAAAAGGAGTTTCGAGACAAGCAGCTATTACAAAAAATGCCGAAGCTTACAGGTTATTTTAAACCTGTAGGCCAGGATGAGGAGGTGCCGCAGGGCCTCGGAGCCAAGTAGGCCGTCTGGTTCTGATAGCAATGGAGTAGCAGGAGAGGAAAAACAGACGGGAGGGTTGTTGGAGGAGATGGAGAAGACGACGAGGACTTGCTACGTGGAGGGGAGCCAACGGCAACCGGACAAATACATGAGGGAGGCCCGATACGTCACTCATCTGGAGGAGAGGACCAGGCGTGCGTAGAGCAGAGTGGAGAAGTGCGATCACAGAGCCTGCCGAGGCTATAAATGACTTTGATTTGTTGTTTAAATAGGGGGCCCCAGGGCCTGATGGCAGGTTAAGGCGGGCTTGGTCTCAGGGCATCTTAATATTTAAAAACCTATTAATGTGTTATACCAGATTAACGAGAAGAATCTCAGCTAACTGACGATACGAACCATTTTTACCGAAACAAAACACAAGTCTCACAAGAAGCGTTAGCATTAGCCCTTAGCTAAAACGGGCAGATGCTACTTCCGGTGCTAACTAGCAAAAACGATCTTTAAAACTTAATATTTTCTGCACAAACTACATATCATCTGAAAGCTGATACTCCACAGATTATTTTGTTATAAGTATCATCACTGCACGACAAGAACGAACTGAGCTAGCAGCCAGAACAGAGAAGAAAAAAAACAACAGTTTTCAAAACCATAACAATAATTATGTTTTACCGTTGCTGTTTTGTGATCAAAGCTTGTGTTCAAGGGAATAAAAACGCTGCTTAAGGTTAATCCAATGTCTCTTAGTCACTTTAGAATTGTTCCTGATAATCTATCATTACATTCATGGCAGCAGAGTAGGTATACAGTTTCGCAGTCCCGAGCTAATGCTGTCTCACGCAGTGGCGACTGGTCATTAGGGGCAGGCACAGCCCCACCTAGTATCAGCAGAAAGTATTAAAAATAATGATTACAAAAAAATGCAAAAAAATAAATTAAAAAATATATGAAATATATTTTAAGATCATGTTTAATCATCTGATTCGTCTGTACATTGCTGTTTTAGTCTGTGTTCTTCTAATTAGTGTCTACAGTGTGTGCCTATTGAGCTGTTTAGAGCCCGATCCTGCCCCTCCCTCTCTCACTGTAAGTGAACGGTGACTGTAAAAACTACACTGCGCATGCTCAGAGTATTTTCCTATTTAATGTGTGTGGCAAAAAAATAATGACCATAGGGGCATAGTGCTGCCATCCCCACCATACGTCATCTCACATCATTCAGAGCTGATTGGCTGTAAATATGTGTGCCGCGAAAAGTGTGGTGTGTGAAGAGGAGACGAGAGAGCTGCAGTGAGGCGTCCTAAAACCAGGAAGTAAGCTGCGCATGGCTTGCCTCGACAAAAAAGCAATGAGATTTCTCCTTAGGATTTTAGAAAATAGCTCCAAATAAGATCGGTGGGAAACGTAGCTGTTAGATAAATGCACGTTTTGTTCAGCCGGATAATATCCACATGTCTACCCTACTTTTATAATTTTCGAATCATAAATCTATTGATGAGATTAGATGTATGATAGACTTTTGAAACTACAAGAACATAAGGAGGACTTTTACAAAAAAGTAATAGAGATTTTTGTCCAGAAGGATAGGCAAATGGACTTCATCTTCAAGTCAAGGTAAGACTGCAATTTTATTGAAAATGGGATCTTACTAAGAGAGAACAATTCAATATGTAAATGATAAAATTACATTGTGTGGGTATCCTTCTGTTGAACTGTATGTTTAAAATTAATTGAAGCATCAGACAAAAAAAGCTTTTGAAAATAATATTATATTTTGATTTAGGTCAAAATATAATATTTGTAAACCTGAAGAGTCAGTGCCAGTGCCTCACCAGCCATGAACCTCACTGCAGAAGCTTATAGACATCTACGTTTTTTGTGCCCCACCACTTTTGTACATATAAAAACGCCACTGGTCTCACATGCTTTTTACGCAAACCTCTCTCTACTTGACGTAAGTGTTTAGCGGGACTTACTTACTCACTCGATTCTATTGGCTCTAACGGTTCAGAAAAGGTGTCAATCACCCAACTCGACCAATGGGTTCCAAATATATGATCCTGCGTAGTATAAACTACGCCCGCTCCATTACGCATTACGCAGCAGGACAGCACGCAGCACCACAGCACGCAGCGACGATAGCAGGTAACAGGTAACAGAGCACATTTCAAGGACGTTGATTTCTTTGCTTTTAGATATTTTTCTTGTGTATCCTCTTTCCATTTTTAATGGCAGCCAGAAGGGAGAGCTTCACCACCGAGCAGGTGCTAGAGATGCTAGCTGACGATAGCGGGGCTATGATCATACCAGATGACTCTTCGTCGGATGATGAAGATCTCCTCCAGCCAGACCTGGATCCGGACAGTAGTGACTCGGATGTTGAACTTCCACCACGGGAAAGGTATGTAATCTCTCTTTTTTTATATATTACTTATGTGTTTGGTGGAACTGCGTCACAGTGCTAGCTTAGCCAAGAAGCTACAGGAATGTGTGAGGAAGCGCACACACTCCCTCACTAACATGTTGGTCTTAACTATTTGTTTGTTAAGAAAGGTAGTACATGTTTTTTCTGAGTTGTCTTTATTTTCAGTTAAAGTTATAAAAACAGTTTACATAGACAAACTAATAAAATGCGTCTACATTCGTTTGTCAGTCTGTAAAACACACAAGCACCAAGTAATCACCATTTCCTTTGTTCAGACCTGGAGGCCATCTTGTCCCAGTGCTCAAAGGGGGAGCCCGCCTCCAAAGTACTCCTTATATGTGCCGTATGAGTAGGCGGAGTCTTGGACGCGATTGGTCAGGAAATGTGTGATTTGATGAGTGTCAATTAGGTTAAAAACTATCTGTTTTAAGCAGACCTTGTTGTTCTTGAAGGTATAATATTTATGGCGATGCAATAATGAATTTACTTAAAGGTGGGGTAGGTAAGTTTCAGAAACCGGCTCGAGATACACTTTTTGTTATATTCCATGGAATGCTCTTAACATCCCGATAGCAATGAATATCTTACGTGCTTTGACAACAAATCCATACAAAAATGTCATCTGTGGAAGCCGTAATACTGTAAAAAGTACAACCAATCCGTTTAGCCGCTAACCGGATTGGATTGCCGCCCTGTCTGTCAGCCTTCCATCTCGTGCACGCACAAATGTATCTCGTGCCGTCATTGGGCATGCCGTCATTGGGCGTGCATTGCGCGTTCATGTGTGTTGGAGGAGGTGCTCTGTAAGGAAGTCTGAAGGAAGGGGCGGATTATTTTCGGCTGTGTACTTTCAAATTTTAGTGCACTCGAGCCGGTTTCTGAAACTTACCTACCCCACCTTTAAGCCTTTAGGGTTTTATTAAAGGTAGACAACAGTGTTTAATTTTGTGTTTAACCCTTCACTCCGCTTTCAGAACCATGACCTGATTGGCCAGGTTGGAGTGGGAAGGCGGGCAGTCTCCTATAAATGTGGTTGGGAAGAGAGGGGAAGGGCATTCGTTTTTGTGTTTGTTCCTTGCTGGGGAATGCAGCTCCAGGCATGCAGTTTGTGTTTCTGTGGAATAATGTGGAAGGCTCAGAATAAAACGCCTGTTTATTTTTTGCAAGAAAACCCTCTCTCCACGTATCGTTCTTTCACCTGCACCTCACATCGTAACAATTGGTGGCAGCGGTGGGATATTTAAACGCCTGTGAGGAGTCTTAGAGGACAGAGTGACTAAATGAGAGGTGGACGTGGAAGAGGTCATCAGGCAAGGGCCACAGCCTTGCCAGACATGGAGGAAGAAAAAAGACGAGGGAGAATGGAAGAAGAATCTCCACTTGAGGGAGCCGTGGCAGCTGAAAGTGAAGAAGATGAGGAAGAGCTGGTGGTTCGCCCCAAAGTGTTTACAGCCCATACTGGGGGTGAGGAACTCTCTACAGTAAGCTTC